AAAGTTTTATTTTATGCAAGTTTTAATTCCTTTATTTCAAAAGAAACCTTTAAAAAAAAATACTTAATATTGGTTTTTTGTTGACATGTGACTCGTAAGCTACGAAAATCTCAACTTTCACACTCTCAATCCTGTTAATGGGAAGCACTGTATTACACTACATACCTTTCTGTATAGGGGCCTGTACTTAACACATACCTTTTTGTTTAGGGGAACTGTATTACACTACATACCTTTCTGTATAGGGGCCTGTACTATAACACATAACTTTTTGTTTAGGGGAACTGTATTACACTACATACCTTCTGTTGAGAGGTATTGTCACACTACACAATTTTCTGTATACTGGTATTGTTATCATGATACACACCTTTCTATACATGAGTGTCTTATAACACTACATATATTGGCATTTCTATATATTGGCACACTCACACTACACACCCTTCTGTATACAGGTACTTGTGTTATGCTACACACCTTTCTGTATATGAGCACTGTCTAAGCAGTTGGAATCTCCATACACAACCACCCGACCTGCAAGCTTATCTGAACCTGTTTGATATAAACCCAGTATTGGTATTTCTTCCACTTGTTGAGTCTGACCAGAGATCACTTCAAATCCTGAAAACACAATTAATTATATGCTCTTATCTCCAATATATGTATTTTTGTTACAAAGATGGATTTATTTCAACCTAGGCATCACATTAGGTGTTTGTTATTGGTAACCACACTCTTTACAGTTTTAATATTTTTGTATCTGATGTTGCAAACATTTATTAGTTTCAATAGCTTTGCATCTGTTACTGAAATTATATTTCATCTGTGATTAATGTTATTTTTGTATCTACGACTGGAAATGTTAATCTCACAGCACTGTATCTGCTCTTATCAAACTAAACTACTTCAAATTTGGGATAACAAAGACATTGTGAAATCTTAGCATGTATTATTAAAAAATTTAAATATTTCATAAATAAAAAATAAATCTTCGTACTCATGATACCTAATTTCTCTGAAAGTAAATAATATGGAAACTTCGGAGCTAAAACCTGACCAATACAAATACATAAGTTTTTAACTATATTCAGGAAAGATAAATACAATGGTGGAATGATTACCTACATAGAAAAAAACTCATACCAAAGCAGTCCTCTTTCGATACTGTACAATTACAATGTTGATCAATATGGTCACTTTTCTATGTATTTTTACATGAATTGGTGAATCTAAGCATCATGTGACAAGTATGTGTAGATCTTAAGAAGTTAAATATTGCTATTTAAAGTACCTTTAAAAACATTATTTTCTACACGACATCTCTAGAATACTGGGCAAATACACCACAGTTAAAGCTTATAATCTTACTGCAGGTTTTTGGCTCCTAGGCCACAGCCTTCTATCAGCAAACTGTACAAGTAATTTTTTACCATGAAAATTAATATCAATGTTTCTACATACTAACTGCAAATTACAATCTTTAGTGTTAAGCTATTTATTTCTTATTTATCCACAGAATGAGCTTACACTTATCTATCTCCAAGTTAAACTTATACTTTACAGTTCTGATCTATCTACAGAGTGAACTTCCACTCTTTATTTAGTTATGATCTACAGAGTTAAGTAACAGATTTTTAGTTCTGATCTATATACAGAGTTAACTTACACTGTTTAGTTCTGGACTACAGACATAACTTACTTTTGACCAGAAGTTAATAATCATAATTAGATACCTTGGTTGTTCAATGTCCTAGTGATTATTCTTCCTTCAGTTGGAAATCTTGAAATACTTGTACCAGATGCATAGTACACTAGTGGAAATAATATAAATAAAAAAAAACATTAAAACTATATCTGTACAATACTAACGAGCTTTTAACAGTGACCTTGCAACCACAGATAAACATTTTAGAATAACTTTGGCTGGCAAACCTATTAAATGATAAGTCATCAAAGCATGTTTGGTTTGCAAATGAAAGTACACTGCTAGATACTAATGTAGCAATGAGACTATGAATGCTATAACAGGATATTTTATTTTCAACATTTTGACTACAAGTCTTCTTCATAGCATTCATAGTCTCATTGCTACCTTAGTATCCATTTGTCAACATGAGTAATACTTACACTGCTAGAGTCTTAATCAGTCTTTTTCATTTGACCCAAATGGTTGCATGTGCAAGTGTAAGCAGAAGTGACAGTTTAGTTATGCATGTTTTTTTGTTGTACGTGTGAAAGGCCATATTTAGTCATGTCACATCACAATTTTAAATACTTCTGAAGAAAGGGGAAAACACGTTATATACAAACCTGCATTGAACATTATACTAATAGATCTTTAATTTGTCGTGATAGTTCATAAATCAAACAGAGAAGATGGCAGCCAAAGAAAATAAAATAGAATTGAAAACTTTTCAAGGTTACAGGAAATCGGAGAATATTTGATACAAAATTCTAGAAGGGGAAGAAGAAGAACATACATTACAATCTTGACAAGAATCTTGTTGAAAGCAAAGAAGAAAATTTTAATTAAAACAAGTCTTTTGAAGATAGTAGTTTGTGTCATTTCTTCTTTTTTATAGTTTTGATAAAATCGATAACTCTGCTAATATAACAAAAATAATAACTCACCACTTTAAGCATCTGTACAATTCACACATGCAAGTTCGTATTTTACTTACAAACATTAAGCTTTGTTTGTAAATACTTACTTTCATGGTCTCCTAAAGTGAAATCTCCCTCATACACTTTGTCACTAGAAATAAGAAGAAGAAAAAAGTCTGTATAATTACACAATCTTTACTTGTCAGGTATAAGTAATGTACCATAAAATTTTATCAAAGCTGGAAAAAATATTGTTTGTATAACACATTAAAAAGCTTGTACAGGTCCCATAAAATGATACACACACACCTCAGAGAGATTCCCCATGGTGAAAGGAGATCATTCAAGGCAGGAACATTGGCTCCACCAGTATCAGGCATCCACCACTGTCTGTTAGAAAACATCCCATACTATCAATATAGTTGAAATTCTCCCTAAGTTTTCATTTTATGTTTCAATCACCTATCTTGAACTATTTCAAAGCAGTTGTGGTTTCTCCTTTGTTGAAAACAAATATAACCTACAAAAAATCTTTAAAATCTTTCAGTGAATTAACCACTTGGAAGTTAAATTATGTGGAATAGAACATTAAATGTGTACATGTGACACAAACTTTCCCCCAATTACTACTGTTTTCAAATTATCTACAACTAAGTGTTCATAATGAGTTAATATAGAGAAAATACCTTGTATTTTCATCATAAAATTTAACCTTTCGCATTACTGATACATTGTACCAGTCTGCAAATACAATCAACGATAGCCCTGCATCAACATCTCTTTTCAACTTGGCTATTTCTTCAGGAAAGTACTCTTCTTCACTATCAACAAGCAAAAGTGCTCCTGAAATTCAATAAAATGGAATCAAAATAATTTACAGATGTAATGCCACATTAAAAACATTACTATGGATTTAAAGTGATATTTCTTGAAAATAGATATACACGTTAAAAAAAACATTGGTAGCAGAGACTTCTTGTTTTCTGAAAACAAATAAACTTCTTTAGCAATTTTATAAGCAATTGTTAACATAAAAAATCATTTAACCTAGTTATAATAGCACTCGTTCATTTTAAATATACAAAACAAATTTGTTTTTAGTCTTATGATTTACTTTGCAGGTTATATAATAAACTGAATTTTTACAAAAACCTTTTTAGTAAAAGTTTCGCAATGAACACAATGACCTATACAAATGTCAAGCAACCCGATGACTGAAAAATGCTTTCTGTTTATCTATTAATTCACAAAAATGATGACTTTAATCCACATCTAGCCAATCAAGAGTTCTTTCCAGCTTATGTCCATACTTTACATTACATTGCAGCATTCTGCTTTTAACTATGAAATTGTGAGTATTTTATCTTTTTTAAATTTAAATACCAAGACCTGTTTTACTTCTTTTTTTTTACAACAGTTGAGAAAAAAAGGAAATAACTTTTTTTGTAATTGACAATAATTGAAAGTCTATGATTTTTCTTAAGACAAAAGGTTTATATTTATGAGTGCAAGTACACAAAAATGAATTAATTTACTCTTCACTCCAACAAGGAGGCATTCCCACTGTTACAAGGCTGGAAATTTAGTATAAATTGACAGGTTTTAAAAAAAGATTTATAAGATTTCACACAAAGAACTTTATCTTCACATTTTACATGTTAATACTCAATAATCCTTAAAAAAAATGGCAACATGCAAAATTACTATGAACTTCTCTGTGTAATATGTCAGTTTTTCAAACCTATGTGTTGTTTATGGGAAGTTACTGTGTTGTTTTTGATCATTTCCTTTTTCTTTTCTTTTTTTTTATGGGATGTAAAATACATACTTGAATTGTGAATCATAAACTAAACTTAGTTAACTTACCATATTGAGAAGCATCAAAACATGTGAGGGGTGATCCTAGCACTTCCACATAATAACCTGAATTCCTAAGCTGTTGATACATGTCTTTAAAGTTAGTGTGAATATGGTCCCCATTCCTGGAATGAGAGATAGTATTCTAAATAAGAATAAATAAAACATATATTTTAATATTCTTATTAATAAAAAGCATTCTTATCTCTGTGAGTGGGAGCATAAGACCAAAATACGTGATTGGCTACACTCACTGCCAAGTTGGCTTCAATTTTCGAGCTGAGCAGGTAGCTTCTTGCTAGGTTTGAAATACTGAATCTTTTAATATTTTCAGTTGGTTGGAAGCACTTTTACATATTACATTACTCTTCAGCCAAACTAATTAAATACATAATACATTCCACTAAAAATATTTTAACTCTTTCTCAGTGGGGTTGTGTAAAATACACAACCCCATCTGTGGAATAATATGAGTGCAACAATACATACTGTAGCTCTAAGATTTTTTAATGTATCCTTACAAAAACTGGTAAGATTTTGTTAAAGATTATAAGTATCTTGTACATAAAAGAATGGCATTATTTTAATTGAGTATTTATATTAAAAATATGTTATTTACCTATTGTAGTTATTTACACTCAAACTCTCAATAGGTGCAAGATGATTTTCATTTTAAGTAAAAAATTATTTTCTTCATCTTACGGGTTTGAGTTTCATTTGCATAACCACTAGAACCTCTTAAATGAATATCAAAAGTTTAAGGTAAATATTTATTTTTTTATTTTCTCTACCTTATCACTAATTGTACATATTATCATCAACATAAAGTGAAATGTTTAAAATTAAGAAACAGAAAAACTGCACACACCTTTTAATTTTTCATAGAATATCTTAAAATACCTTCTTTTGGTGATATTTGTAATTTCAGATCTTTTCCTTTTCACATATACTTAATTTTTAATGTTTTATTTTCCTTTCCTGTCCTTTACTCATCTCAGCACAAGTCAACGGCAGCTTTGGGGTGTAATACAGTATCTTCAGCAGAGATACACAAGCCTTCGGCAAAATTATCTTACCCTCACGCAAGATCTTAAGCCTTGAGAACCGATGCAAAATATGATGTATATATTTTTAAAATGTTTAAACCTTTCAATTATGCATTTTAAAACATAAATAATACATAATTAACTAAGATATAAAAGACCTAAATAAAATTAACTGTCTCTCTAACTATAATATATTTAGCTCAGAAAATACTAAGTGCTATTATGGATAGAGCAGCCAACAATACTACAGGCGCTTACATCTACCAGATGACGAAAACTGCTCGCCAATTTCAAAATAATCATTGTTGGATTATAGTGTAAAACGAGCTTGTTTTAATAAATATATACATATATATGTTATAAAGCTCAAACAGAAGTATAGAAGGTGGTTGTGCCACCCATCAGGGGGCAACAAAATTTATTACTTGTTTTTACTACACTTTAGCCACATAGAACTTTGAAACTTACATGTCAATAAGGCCAAATAAACATATTTATTATATTCATGTACAACTACATGATTGGTATACAGAAAGGTATGTAGTGTAATACAGTTCCCCTATACAGAAAGGTATGTAGTGTAATACAGTTCCCCTATACAGAAAGGTATGTAGTGTAATACAGTTCCCCTATACAGAAAGGTATGTAGTGTAATACAGTTCCCCTATACAGAAAGGTATGTAGTGTAATACAGTTCCCCTATACAGAAAGGTATGTAGTGTAATACAGTTCCCCTATACAAAAAGGTATGTAGTGTAATACAGTTCCCCTATATAGAAAGGTATGTAGTGTAATACAGTTCCCCTATACAGAAAGGTGTGTAGTGTGATACAGTTCCCCTATACAGAAAGGTGTGTAGTGTGATACAGTTCCCCTATACATAAAGGTGTGTAGTGTAATACAGTTCCCCTATATAGAAAGGTGTG